CTCCCTCTCCCGTCTCGGGGTTCCCTCTCACCTATTCCCTTGTCCTCCAACCCCCATCCCCTTCGAACTCCTATACCCCCCCGAGCCCTGCCCTATAAACTAAGCTCAAAGCGCTCTTAGGCAATAATTTCCACCGCTTCGGCGCACCGCAGTGCGCCTTCTGAAACCGACAGGATCGGGTGGTCGGGTCCCACCCTGTCCCAGCCTCTCCGCGGGGTGCCCAGCGCCGTGAAGGAGCGCAGACGCGCCCAGAAGTCCACCACTGCCCGGGCGCAGGCCCGCTCCAAGGGGGTTGCTGCGGGTGCTGCTGCCGCCGCGCCTGCCGTTGCTGCTACCGCCCCTGTCGCCGTGTTCCGCTCCTGCGTTTCGTCCTCATCCCCCGGCGCATTCAGTGCAGGCCCCGTCTGCGGTCCCGCCCCGTCGGCCTGGATGAAAAAGTCCGTTATCCGCCTCTGTCTGGGGCCGGGTACCTGCACCTGCTGCGCGTGCTCCCGGTTCTGTGGTCCTTGGCTCCCAGCTCGTTCCTGCCTCCTGCCTGCTGCCCTCAGGCAGCATCTGCCAACCTCCATGGCAGACAGGGCCGACAGGGCGATTATATCCCATACGGCCTGTTCGCATCCGGTTGGGGCCAGTAATAGCCAGAGTTGCTTTCGGGTGACTCCACCTACCGCCGCTTCCTGAGAAGACTGTAGATGCCGGTCGATCTGTGCCCGCACCGCCTGCGCCACCGGGCATTCCCAAAAGTGATGCATGCGTGGCGAGCATGGCTGACCAGTTGCTCCACCGAATCCGCCACATCCACAGCGTTCTGGAGTCATGCGGGCTAGGTGCGTGTTGCCCGGTAGGGCGACGCCATCCACTGCAAGCCGCCATAACGTCTCCTTATTCTCATTCTCCCATCGTACCCCGGACCAAACGCGGGCCTGCGTCGCCCTGAATAGGCTGATTTCCGAGGGGGGCGGCGGCGACGGGCCCTGAGGATCCGTCGCCTCCCGCACAAATTCAGCTACCAGGCGTCTTCTCCTCTCCTCTATAGGCCCACATTGCAGCTGTGTCGCCAGGCGAACCGTAAGGCGTGCCAGCGGGGTGGCTTCCGCCATCCCAGGTATACGCCACCCAATTCGCCCAGCAATCATACCCATCGCTTGCATGCTGGTCAGCAGTAGTGCTGGTGACGGTATGACAGCCTCCTCCCCTTCCGTTGCCGCTGCCATCGGTTCCGTTAGCCCCCGCTGCTGCTGCTGCTGCTGCTGTCGCCGGGTCTCAACCGTTCTAGCAGCTTCGAGCCAGGCCGGGTTTATGCTGCTATGCAGCGCCGCGAGGGCTGCCCGGGTCACAGGTTTATCCCGCGTGGAGATCGGGGTAAGCGGGTCGAGGTGAGTCCAGGCCCACTCCAGCCATACCGTCCTAGGCAGGGTTGCCAGATCGCTGCTCTCTGCCAGGGTCCAAACCCGCACCAGGTCCCCTACCGTCTGTAGTTTCCTGCAGGTGGCAAGCCCAGGGTATTGGTACTCCAGGCCGGGGCGGCGGCCCCGGTCCGTCGGGTCGGTCCCTCCAGCATTGGGGAATAGCGGATTTCCCCATAATGCAGTCGCCCAGCACCAGTCACCGGGTGTCAGCGGGTTGGTCCCGATGTCCTCTGGTGGCGGCAAGTGCCCCAGGGCTCCCACAATCCGGCTGATATCCTTCGGCAGGTCACGAGTCCCAAGCCAGGGCCCAGTTGGGCTCGCGGTTGTCAGGGCCCACGGCTGGAAAGCGGGGTTCGTGAGCAGAAGGTAGGCTGAAAGCGTGCGGACCCAGGGGTGGATACCTCCGCCCACCTGCATATCTGTGTCTGTTGCGCCTGTATCTGATCTCGTGTTGCCTGTTCGCAGCCCTAGGGTTGCGATGACAA